AGTAAGCAAACACACCCAGACCCCAGGCCCCTGGAGGTCAGTGCTACTGAAGGATACGCTAGGAATCCCACATACTCATTCCCATCGATCGCTGGGGCTGCGTGTCCCTCCATCTCACTTCTCCAACGCCAGGGGCTGACAGAAGCCACTGGAGTTCACAGCATGGAGCTGCTTCGTGCCCTGCCCAAGTCCACCCTTGTTCCGGGCAGCTTCCTTTTGTAAGGCTCACCGTCTCTATGCCTTCCATGATGCGGGAGCCATGGCTGCCTTGCTCGCTACTCACAGTGGGGTCTGAAGTGCAGCAGCCCTGTCAGACAGGGGAAAGATTTAGCCCAGTGCAGCAAGTGGCCCTGGTGAGTCCTACGCATGGGACAATGGACAAAGCTGTGATCTACAGAATCTGCAACTTAGAATCGTGCACGAGGCTGTCACTTGAGTAGTGTGGGTGGTACAAAGGGCAGCCGGACAGGTCAGAGGCAGCAAGACTCACAGAGGAGGACACACTCGCCGTGCGCAACAGGAAGAGCAGGGTGACCCAGCCCTCCAAGCTCGAAGCAATGCAGGTGGCCTGCGGGTCCCATACAGGTACGAGACTGCAAATGCACCTTCTTATGCAGACATACGAACCCTTTCCTGTGCCCAAGAGCCTGGATCTGGAGTTCCAGGACCAGAGATGATCGTAAGACAGGCTGCCACCCTAGGATTTGTATTCCTGTCAGTATCTCCACCACCTGAGGCAGCCCCTGGACACAGTATCAGGTGATACAGTCACGGGGAGAGGAGCCAGTGTCCGATGAAAGGGGACTTTGGGGCCATCACAGTGGCAGCCCTTCAGACAGTCCGTAGGCTATCCTTGCGAGCCAGACCTGGGAAGCTGGGCATTGAACCCAGGACGATGCAGGTGTGGCCAGAGGCCTTGGGGATCTCAGCAATTCGAGCTGCCTTGGGGTCAGACCCCCCACCACCAAGGAATCAAGATAGCAGAACAGAAATGGAGCAAGTGGGAAACCCCCTGTCCCTGTCCAAGAAAACCCAGAGAGAGCTGGGAGAGCATCTGAGGGTGGGGCCAGGATTTGTCACAGTGTGGCTATCAGGACAGCCGTGGATTTGGCCGACTTTCATAACTTGAGTAAACGTTCCTGGAATCAAGAACCATCCTTGCTGTTCAGCCCCAGTTCAGGGTCAGGGAATGAGTCCCTGACTTCCACCCCCAGGACATGAACCAGAGTCTCCGCTCAACCAAGCTGTCACCCCTGCTCAGGCGGTGTCCCTTACACTATCTGCAGGTGCATTCTAACATCGTCTGCAAATTACGTAGTGATGCAAACTTGAACCTGGGTGACAATGGAGTCCAACCATTTGTCATGACTTACTGCGATGACTGCTATATTAGACATCGAAGTTGTTGGAGCTCTTAGGAGACACCGGCTGCAGCTCTGCCCCACAGACGGGGTTGGTGTTTAAGGAGTGCTCAGCACAGGCAGGAGGACTCTGCTCGTTTTCCCCCAAGTGCCTAGTGGAAGCACCCATAGAAGGTTCAAAGTTCAGACTCTGCCATTTTGCTCTCTGAGATCTGGAAGATGCTCTTTCCTCTCTTTCTTTCTTTTTGAAAATTTCTATTTATTTGAAAGTCACAGACAGAGACACAAAGATCTTCCATCTGCAGGTTTACTCCCCAGATGGTCACAATGGCAGGGCAGAAGCCAAAACTTCATCCAGGTTTCCCAGGTAGGTAGCTGCTTTCCCAGCTGCATTAGCAGGGAGCTGGATGGGAAGTGGAGCAGCCGGGACTTGAACCAGCATCCATACAGAATGATGGGATCAGAAGTGGTGGGTTTACTCACTACAGCACAGCACCAACCTGGAAGTGTCACTTCCCCATGGATGATTTCCTTGCTGCTTTAAAGCAGCCCCAAGCATGATGGGCATTTGGCACTGTGGTGGAGTTGGCTTGTGCGATGCCTACACCCCTTATGGGAGCATCAGGTTTGGGTCCTGTTCCTGCCCTTGGTTCTGGCTTGCTGTTTGTGTGCACTCTGGGGAAGAAGAGGTGACGGTCCTTTGCCACCCATGTGGGAGATCTGGGCCGAGTGCCTCCTGGTTTCTGCACAGTTGAAACAATCCAGAGGGGTGGGCCAGGCGCTGAGCCTCCCAGGTGGCTATGGAATCTGAGTCTGTTTTTGGGTTTGATGCAGAGTCCCACCGAGCCCTCACTGCTGTCAATGACCCTGTATGAAGCAGGGAGGCAACGTCTCTAACACAAACACTGCCCTGAAAAGGGGTGCGGGAACGAAAACCACTCAAGGCTGACACAGAAGGGATGTTCTGAAGGAAGAGCCAGGGGCTGAACTTGGGGCTGGGGAGAAGGTGAAGGCAGGGGGCCCTTGTGTCCTTGCCACATGCTCCCTTCTCATCTGCCATTCGCCTCAAGCAGCACACCTGGGCAGCCTCCCAGAGCCTAGAACCCAATAAACACATACAAGTCCAACTCGGCTTGTGTTTCACCCTACCGAAGCAGGAGTGATTGTCAGGAATGAGTGCAAGCAAGATTCCTGTCCTTCTGACCCTGTACTGTAACACGCAGCTGAAACCAAGAGCTGCTCTGCTGTTTCTTCTGCGTCCTCAGCAGGTCCCTCCCAGGAGGGCACAGAAGGGCGTGCCGTTCACAGAAACTCACTTCGTGTCTGGCCATTTAGGTGGGGCGAAGCCACAGGGCCTTTCATTCTAGCTTCTAAGCGCTGGGGAAGAGGCAAAGTGCTGCTTTCTCAGAAACCTTCCCCTGCAACTTCCTGTTTCAAGCTGACGCAGCCCCCGCACTGAAGGTCTGGGCTGGTTTCAAAACGAGTATCTGGGAGCCCAGTACAAATTCTATTTTAAACAGGTCTCTGTGGGGCCAGAAGACAGAGCTGTTTCAAGGATGACTGAACATGCAGGAGACAGCCAGAGCAGATGAGGGAGACGCTTTTGTATATACCGAGGTGTGGATTCCTTCCTTGGCAGACACAGGCCAACTTGTGGGCATCAGCGCTGGGGAAGGATGCCAAGGGAGGGAGGGGTGAGGCTACTCGGCTGATAGGCAGAGATCTGAGATGGTGAGGAGTTCTCTGATTTGGGCACGCAGTTGTGTCCTTTCGCCCAGCCTACAGTGTCTGGCCCATTCGAGCAGCAAGCTTTGCCACCTGCTGTAATAGGACCGTCACCCCTATTCCCCTAGCAAGCCTCCCACAGGAAGAACCAAACCCTGGAAGGGGCAGTTCCCGTTGGGGAAATAGGGGCATCGCCCATGCAATCTGGGGGTCAGAGGGATGGAGCCGCGTGGTCGGTGCCATCTATGGCTGGTGGTCACTTGGTTCCCCAGATAAAATGAAGCGTGCACCATAAAGCAAGGGGGTTGAGTTGTACTGCTCTTATTTCCAAAATCTTGACAGCTGCAATGCCCCCCAGTGCTTTTTTGTTTCAGCCCTTTTCCCAGTTTTGGTCCTTAGAATGACCTGCACGCCTCTCTGATATCATCTAGTGCCTTATGATTACAGACATGAATGATAGAGCCAAACTTTGCTCATTTTAAAAAACTACGCATTTTCATTCTTTTGAAACGCACAATGCAGTGGTAGGAGGAGGTATCTTCTCTCTAGTGACTGATTCTCTGAATATCCAAAACTTCTGGGGTTGGCCCAGGGAAAAGCCAAGAGCTAGGTACTCAAGCCAGGTGTCCCAGGTAGGGAAGGGACCCCTGCTGCCAGTCAGGATGTGTGTGTGGAAGCAGTCAGAACTCCAACCCAGACACTCTGATGTGGTGTCCTTAACCACTGAGACAAACACCTGCGCCAAGTCTTGCTGATGTTTAAAGAGAAACCTCTAAACCCACAAACGTTGCTTGCCAGCGAGTAAGCTTCAACATGCTTCTACAAGGTCAAAACAAGCATGGATCTCACGGCAGTGAGCTGGGAAACAATGATACCAGTGATTTGTCTGTGTTTGTTTGAATATTTAATAAGGAAAAAAAAATCCTTGAAATAATGCCCCTCTTAACATTTAGGCCTTATTAATGAATGAGACTTGTTCTTCCATGTGAACTTATGCTATTAGCATAGTAATTGGCATCAGCAAGCAATAGTGTTCTAGGCCCTGCAATGAGGGACTCCCAGCCCAGAGACACGCACTCGAAGTACTGGACTAAGCTGGATCACCAGGCTTGATACCTAACTCAGTCCTCACAGTTCCATAGCAGATAACCACTGGGACAGCTGCCCGTCTGGCTCCATTCTGGCCCGGGGCCATGGAGCCAACAGCCTAGATTTCTATCAGGATGAGGCTACCAAGTGGCTGAAAGGGCAACTGTCAGGTGAAGCTATCGTGCACATCACGTAATGCCCATGGCCACTTGTAGGAAAGTCAAGACTCTTGGGCACTTGGCTCATTTCTGTCAATCTTGCTTCATCCTCCCGACAACCCTGTGAAAGCCCAGCGTGACCCCATTTCACATAACAGGAAACTGAGGATTGAGGCAAAGGAACTTGAATAGAACCGAACGTTGGAGAGAATTCGGACATGGGCTTTCTGACCCAGGACTTTAGATAGCCCACTGGTCTCGGCCATCACATAGTGCCAAGACTGCCATGAGCATGAGCCAAGGGTCCACACGCCTTGCACGCTGCCAGTACTACAGAGCTGGACACAGCTTTGACAGTCAGGTGACTTAAGTAACCAACAACCCATGACCTTCTTTGATCAACAGAGAGTGCCCAGGAGGCCACTCTGCTCAAGAATTTGAGACGATCCAATGGTGGACAGGCTTTGCTTGAAGGCATAGACCCAGGGATCTGGGCCTCAGCATCCACCATGCAGTGGTGGACCCACACACTGACTGACAAGCAGGCTGTAGCCCCCATCACGTGCGCCGGACATCACCCTGGTGACCTGTCCCCTGGCACAGGACAGAAGCCTGCATAAGGAGCAGAAGCCATTGGAGACACCCGTCACAAAAAACGTTCCCAGAGTTTGAGTGTATAAATAATTTATTTCTGTTCACAGCATCATATATGCAATTATAAAAGGATCTAAGGACAAAGAGAGGGATGCGCAGGACAGAGAATCACAGTTGTCGAAACGGGAAAAAAACAAAACGAAAAAATGAAAGCCAGGGACCCGGGCCCCACACTGCAACAGAGAAATCTGGGAAGAGAGTCATTCTGCAACAAAACCAGCTTCCCTGTGTCTGGCGAAAGTATCTCCAACGCTCCACGGAGGATGCCAACTTCCTCCGGCGGAAGCCCACTTGTCTTGCCCAGGGCAAGGGCGGCGTCCATCGCTGATGGGGCAGGCCCACCCCTGGGGTCACTACTCTGAGTCTGACTACATCGTCCTGTTAGGTCGGAGCCAACACGGGCTTTGGGTCAAACGCCACAGAAAGAAACTGAGGCTGTGAACGAGTCATTGGAACATCACAGGGCTTCACTTGACCGTACAAGGAAGGACTGACACTTGATGGGATCCTTTTACTGCTACTGATAACGCAAAGGCAAAAAACAAAAAAATCCCCCAAACCAAACCCCAGATCATCTCGCGTCATTTGTAAAGCATGACGGGACCTGAGCAGTGATCTCAAACTGAGGGACCGTGGGCACGAGCAGGATACAGTATTTGGCATCTGCAATGTCACAAAATAAATATATTATTCTCTCCGTAGTGTGGAACTACCAAAATGTCAAAGTGCTTAAGAAATTGCTGTAGGTGAAGAAAATAAAGGAAGATGGATTTTTTTTTTTCTTTTTAGTAATTCTAAATCTTTAGACGATGGGACCAGCCCACGTGGAAATCGGCGAGTGTGCTGTCAGTACTTAAACATAAATCCCGCAAGCTTTGCAACATTGGTTTGTTCCTGTTTTTCTTCATTGGGTTTCTGCCTGGCCCCCGAAAAAAGATTGGCACTGGAGGGGTCTCAGATACACTGAAAGAAAAGGGCGGGCTGCTAGGCGTCTGCTGACAGTACATTTCCCGTAGGACCTGGGGGCCAGCAGGAAGCTTCTGCTGCTGGTTCTGAAAGGCAGGGCGGATTGGACAATGGGCATGGACCCCCACACAGGCAGCAAGTCCATTTCTACCGGCTTTCTTTCTAGAGAAGCCTGTCCCCCTGAAGGGGTTCTGGGGGTGAGAAAGGAGTGGGGTACCATGATTCCACCAGAAAATACAGATTCAGCGAGAAGCCAACGTCCCCTTCCATTCTGGGCTTGGAAGGGAATGACAGCTTCTACAACCACAACTCAGTTCAGCTGGGACAAGATTGGATTTTTATGGCATTATTAAAGATAAGTTGCTCACCCTCACTGATTTATTTTCCAAAGCCTCCCTCAGGTACACCTAGCACGGGCGAGCAGTGGCCACCATGTCAGTCCGGTACTTCCTTCCTTTATCTCCGGCCCTCTAGGTGGTCTTCTTTGGCCCCTCTAGCCGCAAAGCCAGTTCCCCCAAGACCAGCCCCCAGCGGCTTCATCCCTGCGCTTCCTCTTCGAGTCTGGGCAAGGATTTTGTGACAAGGTGGCGGTTCTATATTTGGGGAGGGGTGCATGACGTCAAATGCTCCAACGAGGCAACTCTGAATAAGACCCTGAAGCCAGAGAGCAACCATAGGGAACCAAATCAGATATCAGGACGTGTTGCCGCTTGCAGCGTCAAGGCTTGGAAGTGGGCACAGCAGCTGACTCTTTTTTTACCCCTTTCCTTTTTTCGCTAAGGTTCTAGGGCGCGGAATACTTGTGAAGGCTAAAGGCTTTTTTTTTTTCCTTTCTTCTTGTTTCCTTCAACATGTCTGAAAACCCATCATCACGCGGTTGGGATTACAACAGCAAGAAAAAGCAAAAACCAAAATCGCATTTTGCCATTCAGCACACATTTCCAGCTGGAGGGCCAGTCCACACCGGGCAGTAGGCTCAGAGAATCTGAAATTCCACACGCGTGGATCTGGCTATTTCCGCCCATCACACAGTGCAGGGAGGTCCCTGCAGCCAGCCACACACACACCCCCATCCAGCACGCGCCGACAGCCTCACCCTGAACCACCTTTACCTGTCAGGCACACGTCACAGCATCATTCGCCACCACCTTCAACAGCTTGTGGGTTTCTTTGATTTTTTTTTTTTCATTAATTTTTATTGGTCTGTTTTGTGGGATAACGACCTCATACTGACAGGGTCCAAAGCATCCGGAAGATGTCCGATGCCACGTTGAAATGCAGTTTGTCCCCTTCTGGCCTCTGTACCCACCACAAAGCAGCGAGGACAGGGGGCCTTCTCCATTGCCCGAGCCCAGCCCTGGCCGGGCCAGCCCGGCGCCGGGGTGGGGGGCCTGGAGTGGTTGCATTGTCCCAGGAAGTCCTCCGCCGGCCCCACCCACCCTCCATCCCACCCTGTCACCGCCTCGGAACCCAGAGCAGGACAAACGAAATTGCCAACAGGGACCTGCCCTGTGACATAAAATGACTCAGCTTCCACAGCCCCTGAAGGCCAAGGGCTGGGCGTCCCCCAAGGAGTCCTCCCCACTGCAGCTACTGCCAACCTGCTCCCAGATGGGTGCCCCCAGGGTCGGGGGAGGGCGGAGGGTGGGGACTGGAGCTGCATACCTCAGGTGGCTCACAGGTGCCATCCCCGCAGTGGGGGCGGGGCAGCCCTCTCAGGAGTGGGAAAAAAAAATCGCTTTGTCTCCGTGACACGGGAACCTGCCACCCGGGCGGGTGCGCAGCAGAGTCCCCCCCCCACCCCAACTCCCCCGCTCCCACCCCATCCGCAGCCCTGGAAGGCGTTCAGACAAAAGGTCCCCTGCGCCGGGTGGGGAGGGGTAGCGGCAGGTCAGCCCTCACGCCCGGCCTAAGTCCGCAGCAGCCCCGCAGCCGGGCGCCGACGCGGACAGGGGCCTGAGGCGTCGCTTTGGTTCGCTGTCTTTGTCCGCGGGCTCGAGTCCTCCTCCGCCCCCTGCACCCAGGCACCCCAGCCCATGCATTCCGGGACCCCGGGGCGCCGGGCGCGTTACCGCTTCTTCTTCTGCTTCAGGGACTTCCTGCGTTTGAGGATCATCTCGTACAGCTTGTCCATGCCCTCGGTGAGGCCCTCGCCGATGATGGCGCAGGCCGGCTGCACGTGGTAGGTGGTGGCCGGGATGAGCTCGTGCAGCGCCAGCTGCTTCTCGATCTCAGCCACCGGCAGCGACTTGGGCAGGTCCTGCTTGTTGGCGATGACCAGCAGCGGCGTGCCCTGGTTCTCCGCGAACTTGGTCACCTTGTGCAGCTCTGTCTTGGCTTCCTCCAGCCGGTCCACGTCCACCGAGTCCACCACGTAGATGATGCCGTCCGTGCAGCGGCTGTAGGACTTCCACAGCGGCCGCAGCTTCTCCTGGCCGCCCACGTCCCAGAAGTGGCAGCTGATGCCCTTGGCCGTGCCGTTGCTCAGCTTGATCTTCTCGGTGTTGAAGCCGATGGTGGGCACCGTGTTCACAAACTCGTTGAACTTGAGCCGGTACAGCACCGTGGTCTTGCCGGCCGAGTCTAAGCCCAGCATGACGATGTGCAGCGACTGGAAGGCCGAGATGTTGGAGGAGATGTTGCCCATGGCTCCTCGCTGCGGCGCTGGCCACTGCGGCTGCAGGCGGGAGGGCGCCGCGCACCCCCGCCGCCCCACGCCCTGCCAAGCAGGGGCGGCCGCGTCCGAGCCCGGTGCACCTGGGCCGCGCCGGCACACGCGCGCGCTCGGCGCTCCGCGCGCTCCGGAGCTCGGCCGCGGTGACCCCGGAGGGGCCCGGCTCGGCGCGCTCAGTCTCGCCGGCCGGGCTCGCTGTCCGCGGGCATCGCGCCTCGGCGCGCACGCAGCTTTGTCTCGGCGGGATCGCTTTTCGGGCGCCGCCGCGGCAGGATGCTCACGCCCAGGCTCGGTTCTCTCGGGCCGCGCCCCCGCGCTCCAGCCGCCGCCGCTCGGTTCTGGGTGCCCCGCCGGCCGATCGGGTGGCTCCGAGGTTCCCCTGCGGCCTTGGGGAGGGGCGCGCCGCGGGGCAGCTCCCACTCCGGGGCGCAGGCGGGGCGCGGGCTTCCCCGGGCGTCGCTGCCGGCGGTCGCCTGGCTGTCCCCGCAGTCCCCGAGCCGCCGCCAGCCCGCAGCGGCCGAGGGCGCCGGCTCCGCCCCGCCCCGGTCCCGCCCCGGTCCCGCCCCGCGCCCGGCCCTCCGCCGTCCTCCCCCGTCCTCCCCGCCCGCCGGCCGTTTTCGCGCGCTTCGCTGGGCTTCCCCGGCCGCCGCGCCCCACCCGCGCCGCGCCGCGCCGCGCGGAGACAATGGGCCCCGCGCCGGCGCTTCCCCGCAGCCGCCCACGCGTCTCCGGAAAGCGAGCTGCGGGCGCCGCCCTCCGAGCCCGCGCCGGGCCGCAGTCTGCGGGGGGAAGGCAAGGGCAGCGTCCAGGTCGCCGGGGGCTGGAGACGCCTGGGGGTGCGGGTGAGGGCGGAGGGGTCGGAGCTCCCGCGCCTCGGGGAAGGGCAGAAGAGCCCTGGCCTCGGTGTCACCTTCCCTCTTGCCCCCGTCCGCCCTGCATCCCTGGCCTCTGCCGCTCCCACGGCGGCTTGACTGCGGACATCAGAGCCCCCACGCGGCCACCGCGGCGCTCAGGAGCCCAGCGCTGTGCCAGGTGCCCTAGAGGCCCAGCTGTCCTGCCCTAGAAAGGAAGGAAAGGACACCTCCCTGCCTTGGGTACCTGAGATGTCTCCCCTTTGCTACGCAGCCCTCCCCCTGTTTGGCCAACTGCTTAGGCTGAGCTGGCACCCCAGGGTGAGACCCACCTGCAGGTTGGCACCCACCCCAGGACTTCCTGTTGCCTGGCGTGGAGACCTGTTTGTGGCCCCGACAGGGTTCCAAACCCCGGGATTCCTGGAATTCCATCACCTCTTACCCGGATGCAACGTCTTACTCTGGTTTATAAGCGCTGATGCAAGTGTGCACCCATGCTGTGTGGGTGTGAGTGCCCCAGTGCATGGAGCAGCCTAGGGTCAGTGGGCAGCTCCATCTCCAGCTAGGAGCTAGGATGCTGCCAACATGGGCAGGAGGTGAAGGGGGAAGCAAATGGAAATAACTAATCATTTAGTGAGTAAACCCCAACGTGTGGCAAAATGCTTTTCCTCCACAAGCTGTGACTGGATGTGTGTGCTGTAGCCAGAGTGTGGGAGGGCTACACGTGCAGAAACAAGCATGGCTCACCCATCCTGGGAGTCTCCGAGGTGTTACCGGCCCTGGATTGGGGACTGGGCTGGGGAGACTCAGGGAACAGAGGCCTGTGACCTTGCCAAGAGGGACCCAGAGACAGACGACCCGCTCTGACCGGAAGTTCACAGGGGATTGGTTTCTAAGACCCCCAAATGGGAGGCTGCCCAATTGCCTAGACCTCCTGCCTGCTTTAGGCCATCTCTCGTCACCCCCAAGGCCTAAGCCACTGCAAATGACTGTCATTCTGTATTGTTTGGGAAAGAATGGTAAAGGAAAAAGTTCCGTACTCATGTGCTCAACACAGATGAAAAAATTTTCGCAATTGTTTTTCCGATCCAAGATGATTGAATCCACAGATGCAGAACCCAGCCGATTATTTTCATGCCAGGGCTGAAGGCCCGTGCTTGCCTGCTTCCCAACTCTACTCTACCAAAGTGCTACAGACAAGACACAGCGGGGTCTCCCGTGTATCGGTTCTGTTCCCAAACGCCTGCAACCACCAGTGCTGGGCCAAAGATAGGTGCTTGAAACTCACGCTGCGTCTCCCACTTGGATGCCAGGACCCTAACTGCTCACCTGCTGCCTCCTACGTCATCACCCCCAAGAAGCTGAGATTGGATGTGCAGCTGGGATTGAACCCAGGAACTGGATGATAGAATGCCGACATCCGCAAGGGACGTCTTCACTGCCGTGTGGAGCCCCGGCCCCCAATGCACTGTTTTAGTTTAGGAATAAGGTTGTGAATGACCTGAGTCCAGTGTGACTGTGCAGGAAGAGAGAATACACCGATGGACGTATCCCCAGAACTGAGACTGAGGAGGGAAAACAGGAGTCCCTCACCAACTGGGCAAAATGGTCATGAGCCCACACAGCCGGTGCCGACCACACAGCCGGTGCCGACCGCACAGCCGGTGCCGACGCCATTCCCCATGATGTCAGTTCGGTTACCCGCAGCCCTAGGAAGGCACATTTGGTGGTTTTGAAGGGATTTTCTTGGACTGCCCCACGCATCGCCACCCTCTCTTGAAACTGTTGCTTCTCTTCCGCCCTAGCTGCCAGACGGGGCTGAGGCTGGACACCTACTCAGATGGGACCCTGGCCATTGGAGAAGGGTCAGCTAGGCCGGCCCCCACCAGCCACCTTGCATGGGAATCTTTCATTGCCTCCACTGCTGCTCAGCTCTGCTTTGGTTTTAGGGTAGAGTAAAAGGGAAATAGTAAGGGATCTGCTGTGTTTGCTAGGGCTGTACTGATTTCTGCCAACAGCCTGGGTGATTCTGACGGCAGGCCCCACATCTTGCACTCCCACGGTGGGGTTTAACAACCAAGGGCTGTCTGTTGTGCAGTAGAAAATGGACATTAATAGAACCTTCTGAAACAAAGCCATTAAACAGAAATTCACTGTGATGAATAGCAATTACTCTCCAGTCTAATTTCTCTCACTAGGCAATGACTTGATTTTTATAGTTGATCACTTAACCCATAATACATAAAAATTGTCATCCGGTCTAGTCAGTTAGCAGCTTTTCTTCAGACGTGGGTTTCAGCTGAAACACACCGGGATTGTGCAAAGGAAGTCACACTCCCCAGCCTTGCCATGGAGTGGGTACGCATGGAAGCTGTTGGCCTGGGGTACTGCCCACTAGGGTACTGCCTGACCACACTCCAGCCTTCTGGCAACTCCTTTTTCCTCAAGCTTCCCGTGTGCAACACTCCTGGAGGTTGTGAAGGGTAACATGTGGCATCAAAGTGCTCAGTGGGGAGACAAGCCCCTATAAGTGTTAGCCTCGGCCGCTGCAGGGAACCTGGCGTATGCTGCACACGGCATTTTGGACAGCACCAGCTGGACAGCACCTTGTCCACGAGGGACAGCAGCGGCTACCGTGTGTCCCCTTCTCCATGTTGGTCACTCAGAACAGGATGTCTCCGAACAACAGTCCACTCCCAGGTCTTGTCTGAGATGAGGTTCACCCATATGGCCGTGCCCCTCTGGGTCCTCTCCCTTTCCATTTGCACACAGATGGCCACGCATGGGGGAGGCCACAATTAAAGCAAACAATCAGGAAGGAATACCTTGGCAGTCATTTCGGAATTGTATTCTACAACATTCTTTTGGCTTTCCCTTTATGTCCTTGGGAGTAAAATGTGCCAGCAAGCCACACAACTTTCTAATGCAGCTGGTGACATGGTAGTTGTGTCGGGCGAGGTTGATAGCAGAGTGCACCCATGGACAGCCCAACCCCTGGGGATTATGAGTTGAGGATGAGAACTTGGCGGTGTGTGCCTGCATGCAGTCTGTGTGTGAGCCCATGAAGACCAGAGCTCTCACTGCAGGTCGGCCTCGTGCCTAACTGTTGTAGGCCAGGAGTGCCCTCTACTGAGCTTCTCGTGTAACAGAGGGAGTGAGCACGTTTGCCCAGGGCTGCCTCCAAGTGCAGCCCACAGTGATGGAATGAGCAATTGGATAAACCAGACAGAGAAAATGGCAGGTGCCTGTGCGTGCACTCACACTGGGCTGCTGCTCGGAGGTATCCATTTCAGGTGCTGGCGTAGATCTAGCTTGTGTCACTCAGGGACGGCGCAGGACTAGCTTGCCAGGAAAGGGAAACAAGGTGTGTTGCCCAGGAAAGCCAGGATCCCAAATCGATTGAAGAGATCAGAATAGGAAACAAACAAACAAACAAAAACTAAAACTAGACAGCCCCAGGAGATTAGACAGTGGAAGGAACCAATTTGGGCTTTTAACCCAGTGAGCAGGCAGGGGCAGCCATACGTGAGAAGAGGCTAGAGGTGGCCCAAGTCCAGGCGGAAGCTTTCTGTCGAGGCTAGGGTGGGGGTCCTTAGGGAAGCAGCCACAGACACCCCAAGAAGCCCAAGGCAGTGTCAGGTCAATGGAATCCCCCAGGCCAGGCGAAATGACAGTACCCACCTGCTAATGAGGCACCCTTAAGATTCTGCTCTAAGGCCAGCTTTGTGGGTGTAGCTGTGGGTTTGGGGTGGGGAAATAGGTATGAGTCTGTAATGCTGAGATGCTTTGTTTCATGCACGTGGCTTGAAGCCTGGAAATAAGAAGAACCAACTACTTTGGGAGTAAATCAAGATTGTGATTTTAGTGGGGGGAAAAAAATCAGAAAGCCTGGTTTTCCATTTTTGATAGGTAGCTGAGCTAATTTCCCCAATAACCTCCACTCCTAGGCATTTGTGTTGATGATGTTGTTATAATGATCAATTTCTATATATGCCAAAGACAAATATCAAAGCTTAAAAGCCATTCATTTTTCTATTAATATTATTTAAAAATAGAATTCTTTTTAAGGTTGTGAGTCTCTCTGAATATGTAAATTTCACCCACCACCAAATGAACTTATTTCCGAGAACATGAAGCCTGAACTTGGGGAGTCAGAATGTGGGGGTTGTAACATGACAGCAAGATTTTCCTCTCAGCACCAGATACCCTCCATTAAGAAGGAAGAAGAATGGCCACCATGCGGTAGCTTAGTGGCTAAAGTCCTTGCCTTGCACGCACCGGGATTCCATATGGGCACTAGTTAGTATCCCAGCTGCTCCGCTTCCCATCCAGCTCTGTGCTTGTATCCTGGGAAAGCAGTAGAGAATGGCCCAAAGTCTTGGGACCTTGTGGCTGCGTGGGAGCCTTGGGGCACTGTACCTGCGTGGGAGCCTTGGGGCACTGCACCTGCGTGGGAGCCTTGGGGCACTGCACCTGCGTGGGAGACCTGCAAGAAGCTTCTGGCTTTGGATCAGCTCAGCTCTGGCCACTTCCTATGAGTGAACCAGCGGACAATCTTCTCTGTCTCTCCTTCTCTCAGTAAAATCTGACTTTCTGATAAAAATAAATAAATCTTCAAAACA